GTATCAATTCTCCTTCTATCCTCCTTAGTCATTGTCCAGCTCTCTGATGCATAACAAGTGATAGCAAAGACCACGGCCTGTATCAGACGCATCTTAGTCTCCAGAGAGACACCATTGCTCTTCAATACTTTGGAGAGGTTCCTTACAGAAGACTTTCCTTTGGCAATACACCTTTTAATTTCCTGGCTACTGATGCCAAGAGTGTTGGCTGTGGAGCCAAGCAAACTGAAGCTGTGAACAATCTGTCTCTTCACCATCCATCCTGATGCTTCCAACTGGCCCAGTGGTGAGAATCTTTGTCTTCTTGACATTGAGCCTCAATCCATATTGGAGTCTGCAGTCCTTGACACTCTGCAGCAGGCGCTTCAGGTCCTCCTCAGTTTCAGCAAGCAGAGTTGTGTCATCTGCATAACGCAGATTGTTGATCTTCCACTAATCTTGACCTCATATTTCTCCTCCTAGAGCCCAGCCTCCCGGATAATCTGTTCTGCATACAGGTTGAAAAGGTATGGAGATAGGACGCATCCCTGGGATACGCCCTTCCCAATTTTGAACCATGCAGTGTTCCCTTGCTCTGTTCTGATGACTGCTTCCTGGTCCAAGTATAGGTTTTACATTAGCATGATCAAGTGTTCTGGAATTTCCATTCTTCTCAGTCAGCCACAGTTTGTTATGATCCACACAGCCACAAAAAATAACAAAAACAAACCAAAAAAATGTACATGAATGATAAAATGTGCACTATTGAAAAGCAGTATGGTTTGTAAACTTCCACTCAAATAAAAAAAATAAATTTTTTTTAAATGAAGCGTATTTTATGGTCAATACAGACTTTATGTTTAAACAAATTTTCATCATCATGGAAAATTTAAAACTTGGAAAGTAAAAGATAATTGCATAATGAATCTATTGTGCATATTATCCAAAATACCATAATTATCAACTTGATTTGTCTGTAACCTCACTTATTTTCTTACACTAGCCTGCGATTGTTTAACCAACTCCAGACATATTATTTTTCCCTCTAATATCTATACGAGAAGAACGGGAATCTCAGAACACTTAATTGTGCTTATGCGAAACCTATAGTTGGACCAAGAGGCATTCGTAAGAACAGAGCAAGGAAACACTTCATGGTTTAAATTTAGGAAGGGTATGCCAGGGATGTGTCCTTTCTCCACACCTTTTCAACCTATATCCGGGAGGCTGGGCTGTATGAGGAGGAATGCGGCATCAGGATTGGTGGAAGAGTCATCAACAAACTGTGCTATGCAGATGACACAATCCTGCTTGTTGAAACGGATGGACCTGAAATGCTTGCTGCAGAAGGTCAAGTACTGCAGCCTTCAATATATATTGAAGCCCAACATCAAGAAAATAAAGATTCTTACCACTACGTCAATTGACAGCATCATAATGGACGGTGAAGAGATTAAGATTGTTTATAGCTACAGTTTGCTTGGCTCCACTATCAACACTGTTGGTTCCAGCAGCCAGGAAATCAAAAGACAACCAGCACTGGGAAAGTTGGCTGTCAGGGACATCTCTAGAGTACGGAAGAGGAATGATGTCAGTTGGGAGACTAACGTGCACCCTTCCAAGCACAATGTCCTTCTCCAAGTCTGGTCCCTTCTGGCTACGTGCCCAAAGTATGAGATGGAGCTTTAATATCCTTACCTCCAAAGAAAAACTTGCTTTCACCTTTTCTAGGACAAACCTGTTTGTTCTCTAGGCAGTCCATAGTACGTTCAATACTTTTCTCCAGCACTACAACTCAAAGGCATAGGTGATATTCTGTCATGCTTAGTCACTGTCCAGCTCTCTGATGACAGCAAGTAATTGTGAAGACCCTGGTCTGGATCAAGTGCACCTTCGTCTCTAGACAGACATCACTACTCTTCAGCACTCCTGAGGGATCCCTGACAGCAGATTTTCCCAATGTAATGAATCTTTTGATTTCCTGAGTGCTGGTGCCAAGAGTGTTGATTGTGGAACCAAGCAAGCTGAAATTGTTAACAAGCCTTTGGGATTGCACCACAGCTTCTTGCACTAGGCTATATGTACACACACACACACACACATTTTGTTTTTTTGCTATTGTTTCCAAATTATATATGCCATAGAAATCACCAGGATTTTTTTTTCTACCACATATTTTAGTGACATTATTTGCCTTAATCAAGCTGTATACATTTCATCCTTATTCAGTGTTTCCTTTTCTATCACCAAAAATAACAAATGTATACTATCTAGAGAGTGATTTTCTCTCCCCCTCTCATTCCAAGTAATCACTAATAAACGTTGTTGCTATGTGCCATTGAGTCAACTACGACTCAAAGTGACTCTGTGAACTATTGTTCTGAAGCTTGCCCTATCTTGAGCCAACCTCACGATTTCTGACACACTTGACCACACTGCCACTGTGACCATATCTACCTATTTACATGTTCATGTCATTACAAAAAGCTAAATCCATCAGAAAGTTTTTTGTAATTGACTTACATCAGTCAACAAAATGTCCTCAAGCTTCATCCATGTTCTGAGATGGTTTAGAATAAAATTTTTCTTTATTGCTGAGTAGTATTTCCAGAGTACCAATGTCTGTCTGTATTTTATTGACTATGCAAAGGCATTTATTGTGTAGATCACAACAAATTGTGACTAACTTTGAGAAGAAAGGAAATCTCAGAACACCTGATGATGCTCCCACAAAACATATTTGGACCAGGAGGTAGTTCCTGGAACAGAATAAGGAAACACTGAATGATTCAAAATTAGGAAGGGAGTGAGTCAAGAATGTGTCCTGTCTCCATACCTTTTCAATCGATATGCAGAACAAATTATTCAGGAGGATGGATTTTTATGAGGAGGAATATAACATCAAGATTGGAGGAAGACTCATCAGCAACTTACATTATGCAAATGACACAACCTTGCTGTGCTGAAACTTTAGAGGGCCTGAAGCATTTGCTGTAGAGGGTCTGCAATTTAGATTGAAGCTCAGTATCAAGAAATAAAACAAAGATTCTCACCACTGGGCCAAGTGGCAGCATGACAGATTGAGATGAGATTGAGATTATTAACAATTTCAGCTTGCTTGTTCCACATTCAACACTCTTGGCACCAGCAGTCAGGAAATTAAAAGACGGATTTCATTAGGAAAATCTGCTGTCAGAAACCTCTCCAGAGTGCTAAAGAGCAACAGTGTCAGTCTAGAGACTAAGGCAGATAAACCAGATCCAGGCCATGGTCTTCGCAATTACCTGTTATGCATCAGAAATCTGGACAATGACCAAAGAGGACAGAAGAACTGATGCCTTTGAGTTGTGGTTCTGGAGAAGAGTAGTGAAAATATCACTGACTGCCAAGAGAAGGAAAAGGTTTGTCCTGGATAAGTTGAAGACAAGCTGTTTCTCGGAGGCAATGATTTTGAGGCTCTGCCTCATGCATACTTTGGGCCTGTTGCCAGAGGGTCTAGTCCTTGCAGGACATTATGATTGGAAGAGTGGAGAAACAGATGAGAAGGAATAACAGGGTAACGAGGGTTGGTGTATTAGTCATTGAGATTGGCCCAGGATAGAGCAGGGTTCAGAGCTATTGTGTCATAGGGTTGGTGTGAGTTGTGGTTGACTTGACGGCACATAATACCAACAATTTTACTT